TCTATCTATCTATCTATCTATCTATCTATCTATCTCTCCCCCCCCCCTTCTCTGCCGCACCCGTTTTTCTTTTCCCTCGTTACTTTTCATTTTCTTTGACCCTTTTTTTTCTGTTTTTTTTGGGAATACCGGTCGTTCGTCGCTGGGTACCCCGCCCGACACGGCCTGTTAACGGCCGCGTCAGTTTTTTTTAGCTGGGCGAGGTACGGGTGGTTTAAGCTAGCCAGCTTACGATTGTTTATAGCCTTCAGGGCAGTCCCAGTGAACCACTGGCTGGCTCAAAGACGCAGCAAGGACAACAGAACAGATCAAGACTCTTGGTGTAAGGCCTGCAACCAACAGACTCCCAGAACACTCAACCATTGTTTCATCGACTGCCCAAAGGCCAGAAACTTATGGCAGGAAATAGAACGCACATGGAACATTTCTCAGACAAGGCAATTTTGATAAGCCCAGGCACACTATTCCTCGACTGAGACCAAACCCCCCCGCTCAAAGGTTTCAAATCATTCTTCGTCTCCCTCATCAGGAAAGGAACCCTCTGGGCTTTATGGAAAGAAAGATGTGTCAAAACTTTTGAAGATCACCCCATCTCCCCTGAGAAACCATTAGTCACAATAAAGCACATGACAGAAACAGAACTGTATATACAATGGAAGAAAACCCGATATCAAATTGACAGTGCCCCCGAAACAAAAACAGAACTAATCCAAAGATTCACAGTCTGAAAGCTAGGCTCAGGCCTTATAGGGACAATCAAGAATGACTGGCTAGTCCTCAAGAACTGGCTAATCCTTCCCTCCTCAAACACTCCTCCCCTCACCATTAACTTCCCCCTCTCCAGCACAGACAAACCCCACACAATCATCCATCCATCTCCCATCCCTTCCCAACCACCCAATACCTACCGCACAGTCACCTCACATGCTGCAACCCCTCCACTCTAACCAACCAACCACCCTCCCCGCCCATTCGAAACCACCCTCCAAAGTAATTATTAAACACCAATACCTTACACCTCTCAACTCCCACATCCACTAAAACCTTAGCAACACTCGGCAACAAGCTCCATCAAAGCTACAGCAAAAGACTTACTAGGGTTTTGGGTTTAGGGTTTAGGAAGAGGGGACAGCAATCAGCAGTAAAGCCAGTTCTAGGATCTCTAGGGGTTATAATAGAAGTAAGGAAATAGCAGAGGATTAGAAGGTCTTAAAAAAAGAGATTCAGGACCACTTCAACAGTTCCAGTCAGCACAGAGAATCCGACAGTCAAAGGGCTGAAAGGAACAGGCTGAGTGGAGCCCAAGGAGACTATTACGACGATCATAGCGAAGGGATAAACAGGCAATCATGGCCAGGTGCAAGGTAGAACAGGTTAACTCGGGCAGGGGTGAAGGGTGGTACATCCTTCTTTTGAGAAGTAATCAATGTCGTCCTTCACGCCTCCACACCTTAAGGGGGAGGAGCGTGAGTCAGTATACATTGTATTCTCTTCTGACTTGCCGGTGGAATAGGAACCGGACTGACGCTCCCCAGAATGGAAAGGACCCAGAACCATAAGGTTCTGTTTTTGTTATAAAAAAAAGGGAAAAAATAAGAAGGGTGCTTCTGTCAGCAGTGCTTGAGGAGAGAGAGATTGTGGCCATCAGCCAGAGAGAACTCGCTGTTCAATGCACAGTTTCTTGAGACATTTGTTGCATGTTGCTCAGGGAGGCCAGGTCCTCAATTCTTCATCACCTTTTTCTGGTTTCGTCAACGATTTTGGATGTGGTTGTTCAACTCTGATTTTCTCTGGATTTCATCTCAATCAAGTGTGCAAGTGTGGTATGCACGGGGCCCGGCATTGGTGCAGGGGTCGTGGAGTGTGAGTTTTGGGGTGTTTTCTTTATTTTTTGGGGTTGTCTGTGTTGTTCCGACTCCCGAGTTCATTTTTGTCTGTTCTCAGTCTATTGTCTGTTCTGAGTTGCTTTTGTCGGTTCCAGGTTTGTCTGGTCAACATGTATCATTTCAGTATTTTTGTCCAGACGGGTAGTGCCTCTGGACCAGTTGGCCTGATTCAGTCCCAGAAGCCATTTTTCAGGCCTGGCACAATCAGATTCAGGTCGCCGTCAGAGGAGCCTGATCATCCAGTTAGGACCCAAGCAGGCCGTTTTAAGCCAGGTATCAGGACCGGGACTTGGGCCTGCATCCTGGAGTGTTGATCGTTGGTACAATCGGACGGCCCAGGACACAGGCCGAGGCTGGATCCCGTAGGCCCAGCGCTATATATAGCTGGGCCAGCCTCCAGGACACAGGCTGAGTTCATTTTTGTTGTTTTCAGGTCTTTTATCCAGTCCGGGCTCATTTTGTCTGTTCCTAGTTTGTCCAGTCTCGAGGTGTCATTTCACAGTTCATCCAGAGGAGAGGCCACTTCTGGACCACGTCCTGGTCTGGGCCTCGTTTTTAGGCCCAGCAGCCGTTTTCTTTAGGCTGCAGCACTTTGTTTGTGGCTGAAACGTTTTTCCCATGTTTCAGCCCAGTTCATCTGTCACAGCGTTGAGGCATGCCGTTCCTAGGCTGCCACACCTTGGTCTGGGCTGAACCACTTTTCTGGTTTAGCCCCGTTGGTGGTTTTGCAGCAGTAGGAGCATGACTAGGTCCTGGACTGGACCAGTTTTCGATCCAGCACCCAGGACCGTCCATTGATGAGATAAGATTGGATGGCCCTGGATCCAGGCCACCTTGGAGACTGGAAGACCCAGTGCTATTTTTGTCTCGGTACAGCCTCAGTTAGGGACTGTTGCATACTGTAACGGTGCAGACCAGAACAAGAACCGACCTCTCTCACAAAGTACAAGATAGCATCGTGGAAGACTTAGATACCAATGATCCGAACAATCAATATTGCAATGCAGCCCCGAACATACATCAGCATCATCACTCCATGGTGTGAAGGGGTCTGGCGCTCAAAGAATGCACCAGCCCCAACCATGTCTGGCGCTCAAAGAATGCGCCAGCCCCAACCATACACAGACAAAGAAGAGGGGAAGATGGGAATGTCGTCAACACCAAGTCTTCGGCACAGGCCCAAATAGTCCCTCGTCAAAATGTCTGAATCCCAATGTCGAGTCTGGATCCAATGTCGTCAAGTCTCAAGTCACAACTCTCTCTCTCTGTCGTAGTCCGCTGATACTGAGAAGTCAGGTAGTGAGAGGGTGAAGAAGAGATGGTGGACTTAGAAGAGGAAGAAGAAGAACTCTCTCTCTCTCTCTCTCTCAGTCCGGTACTAACCTGTGAAGCTGGCGCCTTGATGCAGGTACCTCGAAGATGGAGCTGGAGCTATGGCGCCACAGGTAAGTCTCACTGGCCTCCGCCAGCCATCTCTCTCCAACACTACTACTACCACCTATTAGCGCCCAGCGCTGAAGACTACTCCTACGGCTACTAGCGCCAGCGCTGAAGACTACTGCTAGCGCTAAGCTACTCCTGCAGCGCTCCTGCAGAGTGCTGCGGCCGAATCCTGAAGACTACTCCTGCCTTCTGTCCGACTACCTACCCGTGAAGTGCATGGGAACTCCCTATGTACTACTCGGCCTGCCTCCTGACTGCCTGCAGCTGCAGGGCGGGGCAGTCCAGGAGGCTGCTCTTGCCAATGCCGAAGGGAGTCAGGGGCTGCCGCTGCAGCTCCTGCTGAGGCTGTCGTGGGAACAGGCCAAAAATAGCCTGTTCCCGAAACCCTGGTTTTGTGCCTGAGTGTTAGGGCAGGTCGATCTTATGAGGGCCCGAAAGTGGCCCTCCGTTTCAGGCTGAAAAGCCTAAGGGCTGAAAAGCCCTGTTTTAGGCTGAAATGACATAGGGCCTGCAGACCCTCGTTTTCAGTCTTTCAGGCTGAAACCACACGGGGCCTGTAAGCCCTTATTTCTAGGCTTTTAGGCTGAGAATGCGGGACGGGCCCTGCAGGCCCATGTGGCTACGCAGTATGCCACACCCCACCCTCCTTGAAAGACCGAGCTTACCTGCGAGGGCGAAGCTATCTGTCTGAGGGAGGGACCACAGTTCGGGTGGGAGGGGCAGGTCGTGAAGGTCCCTGAGCTAACCTTTGTCGCTCGTTGTGAGTGTAGATCAGCGGTGTGGATGCTTTCAAATCTGTTCCTGAAATCCACTGAGTGTCGTCGGGATCGCATGCTTTGAATGTAACTTTGTACTGTCGAGGCTTGTTGCCGTACTTGCGATCCGTGATGACGTGGTCAACTTCCTGGTGACCATCCATAGAAGGAGGGTCCTGCGATCGTCGGCCCGGGAAGTCGTCGCTCTTAGTTGGTGTGTATGTTGCCAGCTTCGAGGCGTGAAAGACTGGATGGACCGTCAGATGCGGGGGAATGTTGATCACAAATGAAGGGCCATCGGGCTCATCGCCCGGGGCTGATGTTACGGGCCATGGTCCAAACCACTTGGGAAGCAGTTTGCATGAAACATCCTGTTCCAGTGCAAACTCTTCCGCGGAGACCCAAACCAAATCACCGGCGCGGATGGGACATGGCACGTGACGCCTATTGGCTTGCTGCTGCATGCGGACTTGAGCCTTTTGCATATTTGCGCGGGCTTGAGCCAGCAATTCCCTGTACTTCCGGACGGAAAAGGGAGAGCAAGCGGCGTCGATGTCAGCTGGTCGTGGGAGGAGAAGGTCGGTGAAGATACGGCCTTTCCGTCCACCGTGGTGCAACTCAAATGGAGTCACGCCGATCGCCAGGTGCACTGAAGTGTTGTAGGCGAACTCGATGTCGGGGGGGGCGGTCAACCCAATCTTTCTGGTCCGGACGGATGAGCGTACGAAGCATCATTTGAGCGGTTTGATGTGCCCGCTCCGTTTGCCCATCTGTCTGTGGATGCCGAGCCGAACTTGGTTTCATCTTCGTGCCAGACTCCTCCATGAGAGCAGTCCAAAATGTCGACATGAAGCGAGTGTCGCGGTCGTTGACTATGTCTTCCGGTACACCGTGGCCGCAAATCCAACCGGTGTGCAAGAGGCGTGCCAACTCGGGAGCCGTGGAGTAGTACTTTCAAGGGAGAAAACGCGCATACTTACTCAAATGGTCCACAACCGTGAGGATGTCGTCGTGCCCGAGGCGATCGCGGGGAAATGGTCCGGTGACATCCATGGCAATGGAAAGGCCGGGTTCCCGTGGGATAGGCATCGGGCGCAACTGGCCGTAGGGGTTGCGATTGCGGGGCTTGCTTCGTCGGAAAACTTCGCAAGAGTCGCAATACCAAGTGACATCGGTAATGAGGTCGGGCCATCGGAATCGTTGTCGAAGCCGTGCAATAGTGCAGTTGACTCCGAAATGGCCGGCGAGTCGCGAGTCATGGTACTCCCCGAGAAGGCGAGTCCGAAGACGACGGTCTCGTGGAACACACAATAAGTCCTTGCCTCTCGAGTGGAGGAGCAAGTACCCGTCAACAATGCGATAGTGGCTGGCCGGCGGGTGATCCGAAGATAGCTGCGCATATAATGTGGCGAAGTCCGGATCAAACTCATAGCCCCGGATGAAGTGTCGCTGGAGTTCCTCGTCGAATGCGAAGGCATGATGTGTCATAGCGCAAAGATCGGGTCTTTGTGAGAGTGCATCTGCCGCGCGATTGGAGAGGCCGGGGAGATGTTTCGGTGTGAAGTCAAATTGGTCGATGAAGTACATCCATCTTCCGATCGTGCTGCTCACCGTATCCTGCGTCTTGTAGTAGGTCAATGGGTTGTTGTCCGTGACCCATGTGAACCGTCGACGCCCAAGGAGGAAGTGCCGCCATCGCTTGAGAGCCATCACGAACGCGAGCAGCTCCTTTTTCCTTGCATCATCAAGTGAATTGATGGGAGGCACTTTGTGGCTGAAAGACTCCACAGGGTGCCAGTCGTCGCCGTCGTATTGTTCCAAGACTGCCCCAATGCCATAGCCGGAAGCATCAGTTGTCACTCTCGTAGGCAGGGTGGGGTCATAGATGTTAAGGACGGGTGCCATGAGCATGACCGTCTTAAGTGCTTGGAATGACCGGCGTGCGTCGTCATCGAATATGAATGGCACCTTTGGCGATTGTAATCTCGTCATAGGTGCGGCAATCCTTGAGTACCCGGTGATGAATCGCTGATAGTAGCCCGCCAACCCCATGAATGAACGGACGTCCGTGGTGTTGGTGGGCTCGGGCCATACGCGGAGGGCCTCGATCTTGTCCGCAAGCGGACGGATGCCTTGCGACGTCACATAATGTCCCAAGTACTCCAACTCTTGCCGCGCGAATTCGCATTTGTCGCGGTTGGCTTTACACTTGGCTTGTCGTAGCCGCTTCAAAATGGTGCGCAGGTGTTCCACATGCTCGTCCAAACTCCAGCTGTACACCAGGATGTCGTCGAGGTAGATAAGTACGAATAAATCCAGCATGTGTCGGAACTCCGTTGTCATAGCCGCTCGGAAAGTCGGGGCATTCGTAAGGCCAAATGGCATAACTAGCCATTCGAAATGCCCATATCGTGTCTTAAACGCAATCTTGTAGCGGTCCTCCTGCCGAATCTCGAGTTGGTGATATCCCGACTTGAGGTCCAGCTTGGAGAAGAACTTGGCGCCGCCCAGCCGTTCGAGAAGGTCGTCGATGTGTGGAAGAGGGCCGGCGTTTCTGACCGTTTGCGCGTTGAGCTTGCGATAATCGATGCACAATCGCAAATCCTTGTTCTTCTTCCGGACAAAGAGAACGGGAGCACCGTATGGCAATGAGCTAGGTTGAATCCAACCTTTCTCCAGAAGGTTGTCGAGTTGTGCCTGCAGCACACTTAACTCGTCCTCGCTCATTCGGTAGATGCAACCATGCGGAGGTACAGCCCCGTCCTCAAGGATGATCTCGTGGCGGATGGGCCGATCCGGTACTACTCCGTGCGGGCCTTTGAACACGTCGCCGTAGGAGTCGAGAAGTTCGGTGATGCGTGGGTCCGAAGATGAGTCCGTCGATGAAGCGTCATGTGGCGGGAGGGCGTGGAGAAAACACACCCCCATTTCCTCGATGTCGTCTCTGATGATGGAAGCTCGCATGCTTGCGGCGGACAACACGTGACAGCTGATCGAAGGGTGTGGAGGAGGCACCGTGCATGGGACTAGTACTCCGTTCCGATCACGAACGTGAACGGTGCGGTGGTAGAAGTTCATTGGGTGATCCTCGCTTCGCAACCATAATGTAGCGGACCTCTGGTTGGCCTGTGAGACCAGCCCCTTGGCCTGTTCTCACAGGCCTGTGTTCTACTCGGGGGCAGTCCAGTCCAGGCCGGTACCTCTGTCGGTACCAGCCAGTCCAGTCCAGTCCCGTCAGTCCACTGGGGTATACCCCAGCAGTTGTCTGTTTTAGTCCTCATTCTACACTGGCACATTTTGGAGTACGTGCGTTGGAGTCTTGCGTGGGGAGCTGCGTTGTGCATCTTGCTCCCCCCTTCTTCCTCCATCTCCATCTCTATCACTAGCGGAGCACCACACGTGGTGGGTCCGCTACAGTATAGGAGCGGGAACGGTCCCTGCTCCCACCCACCACCCCGCACAACAGCGAAAACAGCCCAACCCGACAGCAGGGTTTTTCGGGCCGTTTTCAGGGCGTTTTCAGCCAAACGGACGGGAAAAAGCAGGCGTAGCAGGAGGCGGCACGTGGCGGAAAAGCAAGTGTGAGGACAACTGCGTGCGCGCAAGCGCCAAGGCCGCCGCACACGCCCACGCTGCCCTGCTGCCCTGCTCCGCCCCGCTCTCGGATTGTATTAATCAAGATCCGGGATGCATGCTGCTGCTCGGGTCTGAACCCAGGCAGCTGTTGGCCATGCGCGTGCGTGTACCACCCTCATAACACATTGGCCACAATCTATGCATGGCCTTGTAGCACGGCAACCTCGTGTCGAAGAGGTGCTGGCTATTTACAACCCCCCCCACCCCCTCGGGGTGCTGCTGCCTGTGCACGTGGCCACCTGCAGTGCCACGTGGCACTTTGCTGTGGACTGAAGACCCCCCTGGTTAGGGGGCTGCGCCACAACATTATTATTAATTTTTTTTTACTATCTCTCTACTACTGCAGCAGCAGCTTTGCAGCAGCTCAAGATTTCCCCCTGGCTAGTGGGCTGTGTGACTGTGGCAGTAGTGTGGCTGATCAAGATCTCAACCAACCCTAGATCATCATCATCATCCATCAGGGTATGCTCACACAGCACACCCTGGATCTGCAGTGCTGCAACTAGGGGCTGATCAAGATGTCGGCCCCCCTACATCCTCTAGTTGGTTGGCTGCAGCGAAGGCCAAGACCCTCGTGGTCTTGGTATACCTTGTGCCCTTGGAGACACCAAGGGCCAGGTATCATCTCTCTCTCCCCTTTTCTTTACCCCACCTTCCACTGCCTCTCTCCCCTCCTCTTTTTACCTTCCCCACCCCACCTTTTCTCCCACTAACCACTATCTTACCCTCTTTTCTTCATTTCTTTTCTTTTCTCTCCTCCTTCTTTCCTCTTAGTTTCTTGATCACTCTCCATCTTTCCCCATCCTCTTTCTCTCCTATTCTCTCATCCTCCTCTCCCCCAACTGCCACCACATCATCCCCCCACCTTCCACTTCCATCTTTTTCCCTCTCCCACCTATTTCTTTCTTCTGTCCATCACTTTCTCATCCCCCCTTCCCCCTCTCCAATTTTTTTTTTTTTTTTTTTTTTTTTTTTTTCCCCTTTTTTTTTTTTTTTTTTTTTTTTTTCTATCTCCCTTTTGATTTATATTTTCTCTTTTTCCAAAAAATTCGAATTATCTTCTTCCCCACCTTCTTTTCTCATTTTCTGATTTATTTCATTTATTTTTCCATTTATTCTGAAAATTCGATTTTCTTTACGGGAACCCTAAATCTGATTAGGTGTTAGTCTTTCTTGCTCTCGGCACACGTTTTGACCCCGTGGGGGTAACCAAGTGCTGCCAAAATTTTCTGATTTTCTCTTACTTAGTTCTTCTCGACACACTTCGACCCCATGGGGGTAACGAAATGCTGCCGAAATTTTTGACAAATCAGATACTTCATTTCTCCCCACCTCCTCATCCCCTTATTTACTTATTTATTTATTTATTTTATTTATTATTTCCTTGTTATTTTTGAAATTTCTTTTTATTTGCGGCATCTTGAAACCTAGTGTGCTCACCTTGGTCTCCCCTTTCCCCTTGGCACATTCTGGGGGGTAGGGAAATGCTGCTGAAAATTTCAAAAAAATAAATATTATTTTTTTTTCTTTCACATTTTGTTTACTTATTCCCTTAATTATTTTTATTATTTATTTATTTCGTTCTTTATCTTTATTTTTCTCTCGAAGTCTCGCTGTTTATTTATTTTTCTCCTGCCTTCCCCCCCCTTATGCTTGCTATTTTATTTTCTTGATTAGGTCACCGGCACCGTACCCTAACCACTCAAACTCCGGTTAGGGTTTTCTTAGGGTTTTTATAGGGTTGAGGGTTCTTCAACCCCACCCTACTTCCCCGTCCTCTTGGGGCACCCAAGACCCGAACCACCCCTCCCCCTTTGACGGCGCCCGCACCAGCCTTGCTAGCGCCGTCCGCCGCTTTCTACCGCGGACTTCCCCCTACGCCATCCGCTCACGCGGACGTCTCCTGGCCCCCTCCAGCCCGGCCCGTCACCTCCCGATGGCCGACGGCGCGTCACACGCCACCGACGCGGCGACGACCACGACACAGGGCTCCACACCCGTGCCGACGGACCAGGGCCACCAGCCCCAGGGGGATCTGCACACCCTCCTCACCTCCCTCCTTGCGCCCATCCAGGCGCAACTCGCGACCCTCGCGCCCTTACAGGCGCAGGTGGCGACCCTTGCCGCCGACGTGTAGCATCTCCAGGACGCTGCGTGTCCTCCATCTCCTGGCTCCCAGTCCGGGTCCCCCGTCCTCCGACAGGGTGGCCACGGCGGAGCTTCCTCCTCCACCGCCCCTGACCCGACCATCTTGGTGACTGTCCACGCCCCTAGCACGACGACCGCCACGAGCTAGGCCCTCCCTCAGTCCACGGGCGCACCCGCCCAGATTCCGGTCACGACGACCATGGGGCCACAACCCGCTACCATGGTCTCAGCTTTTCCGGGTGCCCCGCTCCTCCCTTCCCTTCGCACGACCACAGCGCCACCTGGCTCCCCCCCTCTTGGATGCCCCACGCCGCTTGTGCGTCCACTTCCTCCACTCTTCCTCCTGCCACCCCTCGCTCGACCTACGTTCGAGGTCTCACGGACGAGATTGCCCAGCTTCGGGCCGACCTCGCCCTCTTACGCCTTCAGCCACCCCCACCGTCACAGGTGGCCTCGCCCTCGGGCGCACCCCCTACCTCTACTCTTCCTCCCATGCAGGCTCGCTTCCCGCGCCCTGCACCCTATCCAGCCCCATCCTACCTTCTTCCTACTCCCGCGGTTGCTGCGACCTCTTCTACCGCAGCTCCCTTGGAGCCTGCTGCAGCTGCCCCCGCCGCTCCCCCATGCGGCCCGGGCGCACAGTCAGTTGCGCCCCTCTCTCCAGGACCTGTGCCGACTTACTCAGCCGTGGCACAGGCCTCTGCTCCTCGATCCCCTCGCCGCCAAAACGGTGGTGCACCACTCATCCGCTTGTCGGACATTGCCTTGTATGACGGTACAAGCATACGCGTGTCTAGGTGGCTGCAGTCTGCCACCCGCACGCTCCAGCTCATGGGCGCCACAACCGACACGTGGGTGGGTCACCTCTCCACGCGCCTACGTGGTGGTCCTTTCGAGGCCTGGTTTCGTGGTGATTTCTACGCGTACTCCCTTCGTGAGGGTCGGACCCCGACCTTCATGGATTTCCAGGCGTTCCTCGAGGATCGCTTCGGAGCCCGATACGACGTGACTGACGCCTTCGAGCGTGTCGTCACTACACGCTGGTCCGGCTCTGGTGGCGCTGCCGCTCTGGATCGCCACATCCAGGTCTTTCAGGACGCCCGCCTCACTTGTGACGTGGCGTTCCTCCCCGAGGCTGCCCTTATCGATCGTTTCTTGGCCGGCCTCCCACTCGAGTACCGCTCGGAGCTATGGCGGTACGAGTTCACATCGGCCCCGCAGGCTTACGAGGCCGCCAGGGACCATCAACGGATATGAGCCCGTCTTCACCCCGACGACTCCTCCCAGCCTCAGCGCACGGGCTACGCCTCCTCCTCTCATGGCACTTCCCAGCGTCGTTCCCCTTTCCGCGGTCGCCCCCGCCGTTCCGCGCAATAGGGCCGCCACTTCTCGCGCCGCTTCAGCACGCTCGAATATGGCGAGCAGGATGCTGGTGCCCCGCTGTCGCCAGAGGGTGACCATAGCGCTGACCTCGAAGGACCCTACTCTCCCTATGGCTGAGCGCCTCCAGCTCATCCTCTCCACCCTTTCCCGGGCACGCAGCCGCCCTGGTCACGTTGGCGCGTCGCCCACCGAGGTCCCTCAGCAGGACATCCCTTAGGGCTTTGTTCCTCCTCGCGGTGTCCTTTCCACTGAGGAGCGCGCGGCTATTTTGGGCCGACGTGGGTGTTTGCGATGCCCTCAGGACGGTCATACCTCCTCGCGGTGCCCTTACACCACCGCCCTTGACCGCCACTACGCTGACCTTTCGCGCCAGCGTTGTGCTCAGTCCCACCCCGGCGCCTCGCATCCCCGCAGCGCCTCCTAGCCACGGTGCAGTGTACACCTGCGCCCTCCTCAGTAGTCGGCTTCCCGACATCCCCGTTGCGGTTTGCCCCTCTCGCTACTGGAACTGAGGTCTCGCAGGATCTGACAGAGTGTACTCAGCCCTCTGTCGCAGTACCGTTTGCGCCTTCGCAGACCACCGTCTCCCCTCCTTCCCCACCGCGACTACCGACGCGTCGAGCCATTCGCTCAGCCCGTTGCAGTGAGCAGCTTGCGACTCGCGAGTACGTTGTGTCCTCTCTTCTGGACTTGAGCATGCTCCAGGCTCGTCATGAGCGACTCACCCTCCATGTCACTGCCATGCGTCGCCTTCTCACCATCCTCTCTGACCCTGATCGCACCCTCCCGATCATCCCAGTACGACTGGGGACCTCCACGAGGGTGTACTTAGCGCTGTGGGATTCCGG